CCAGTAATGTCTCGGGGCTGATCCCGCCCGCTCCCCGCTGCGTGGTGCCCACCACCCTGCCCTCGGCGTCCACCCCCACCGACAGTGCAGCGGCGGCGCTGGCCTCCTCTAGTAGGTCCAGGTCCAGCGCTGGAGTGACGCCCACCTGGGACACCGTCAGGGTCAGGGGCACGTACCGCGTGTCCAGGGGGACGGACACGCTGGGGTCATCGTCGATCTCGTAGTCGGGCTCGTCCTCGGGGTCCTCCCCCGCCACCATCTCGATCTTGGGCAGCAGGGTGGCCGTCAAGGCCGCCTGTTTGGGTTTGGATGGGAAGTATACTATAAGGGGGGGGGGGGATGAGGTGGCACTGCGCACACATCCTGCACCGGCCCCGATGCCTATGGGCTGTCGCGGGTAATGAGCTGAGGCCGGGCCCCTCCCTATCATGAGCACCAGCCGCACCTTGACCGCAATGGAGGCGGTGTCGACCACAGCGCCCCCGACAGCGAGGACCAGGACATCGACATACACCACCCAGCAAGACTTGCCAGACACGATGCTGAGGGTGGTGAGGTCCAGGCCGGCCCCTGCGGAGGGTGCAAGCAGGGGGAGGTGGCTGTGGTGCGTCGCCGCGGCATGGCATGGCAAGGCCGTGTGGTGGGTGAGGAGGAGGGTTGGAGGCCTCCCTCACCCCTTGGTCTGGCGATGGCTTCCATCACAATAGCCCTCCACATGGCTGGCCAAAACCAATCCACTACACCAGCCCCACTTGTAGCCCTCTACCACCCCTCTCAGCTCACTCCCGCTGACGGGGCTGCGGAAGAATGTGCGCTGGAGCATGGCGGTGAGGTCCGAGGCGAGCTCCTCCCCGCCCCGCCCCTGGAAGCTGGGGCTGGCTATGGGGGAGAACTCCGTCGCAAAGGATATCCTGCCCTGGTTGGGCGCGCCCTCTGCTGGTGGGCCAACCTCCGCCTGTCATGAGTGAGCCGGCAGGAGGTTTGAGCCTGCATGCAAGCAGGTGCACAGGAAGTGCTAGGCCTGAGTACCCTTGCACCCAACCCAAAGGGTGGCGCGCCTTGACACCGACGAGGACGTCGGTGGTGCCTAGACGCACGCGCGCCGAGCCGGTGGCTTGGCCGATGACCCCCGTCTCGATCTCTATCTGCCGGAAGTCGAGTGGCCCCCGCCCATCGCCACGGACGCCGGCCTCGAACCCCCTCCGTACATACTCGACTTCACCGGCACTGACCAGTACTGACGCCATTGCGCGTGCTACAGTCGGGCATGTAGGGAGGCTTATTACATCTAGTAATATAGCATATAGGCCACCGCATGAGAATGCGAAAGTGCACTGGTAGGGGCCGATGGTGCTCATCGTCGTCGGAGAGCGCGCTGAGCACTTGCTAGCCACAGCTCCACTCCACAAAGGTCCTCAAGTAGATCACAATGCTACGACCATGCTACATTCTGATCACGACAGGACTGATGCTACGGCCTGTTCAAGCTGCCCAACGCTTTCTTTGAGACCAGCTAATTGACTGGCAAGCAGGTCCACCCTCTCAAGTCCTTTGGAGGCCCGCCGGCTAGACTCCTCCAGCAGCTTCTGGGCATACAATGCCTGATTCACCGCTGCCTGCTTGGATTGTGCATGCGGGGGGGGTGTTAGAAAATAGTTGAATCGAAGAGCAGCCGAAGAGGCGACTGATTGCATCATACATTGATGTCACTCCTGAAGGGCTAACAGAGAATTGCATTGCCACCTCAGCCTTCCAGGGCCCGACCCAAATGATGCTTGGCACTACGAGCACCAGTTCTTCCTGCCCCCATCACCTGCAACTCGTCCAGACTCTCGCTGTAGCAGGCCAGGTGTTCCAGAGTTTGCGCTTGAGCCTGACCTGTCTGCTCCCTCAGCCCCGTCAGTAGTTCATCCAGCTTGTCCTCCAGCTGACGCAGTGGATCTATGGTGGCATCGGGTCCGGCATCTTGCATGGGCGCCCACTTGAGACAAGGGCAGCGTCAGTGGGGCACAGCAGGTTCCTGCGGCGAGCACAATCAGGGACACGGCGACGATGCAAGTATCGGGGGTCGGCACGAATGCTCTGAGTATATCTGATGTGTCGCCAAAGACACTTATGTCCTTGTGTTGAGAAAGTGCGGGCGGTTTCAAGCATCACACCCCTTTCGGTGCCAGGGGGATCCAGACCGGAAGGCGCCGAACGTCATGACCCTTGCCCGAAACCTCGTTCACAAGGCAACCCCCTGCCCGTCTTCCCGGTTATAACTCTGGTCTTTGCACTACCTCTTTGCGTAATCTGATCGTGGCGGTGCTCCAAGCATGGAGATCCCGAGGCAGGCATCACTGTTCGTCCTCCTCCGCCTGGCGTTCGAGGAGCTGTTTGGAAATGGCCGCATTCCCCCGTCCCCACTCCTCAAAGCGCTCCTGAGCAGGGTAAATGATGGAATGTGTTCTATTCTGAAGTGGGGTTTGCTCCTGTTAAGCCCTCACTGCAGACGCCTTCCCTCAGATACCAACCTGGTCACCACCCCTTCCGCACCCAATTCCGTCCCCCCCATTGCCCTCTCGCAACTTTGCAGGGGTTGGGGTACTGCATCCTCCTGGGATCCACTGTCGTCAAGGTGCCGCAACTGATCAATGTCGTGCGTGCACGCAGCGCTGCTGGCCTCAGCTCCCTATCGGTCGAGCTGGAGACGCTGGGGTACGCCATCTCCGCCAGCTATGGCCTCCTCAAGCAGCTGCCCTTCAGTGCCTACGGCGAGACCATGGTATGGATCGACTCCAGAAGCATGGGAATGCCTTGTGTCCTGGCCGACGAGCTTACAGACGGGACTGATGAACTTGCGGTGTCGATGGTCTCTCCCAGGGCGCCCCCAACTTTGCAAACACACACCCTTGCCCACTTTGCGAGCCCCATTTCCACCCTCGACACACCCTGTCATTTCCCACCTCAGGCCATGCTGCTCCAGAACGCCCTACTCCTCGTTCTCATCTACCACTACCAGCGCAAGTCTGCCGCGCGCACGCTGTGCCTCCTCCTGGCCCTGGCGGGGTGGGCGGCGGCCCTGACCGCGGGCGCGCTGCCCTTTGACAAGGTGGCCCTCGCCCTGAGCTTCAACAACCTGCTCTTCATGGCCTCCCGCGTGCCCCAGATCGTGCAGAGCGCGCAGGCGGGCAGCACGGGGCAGCTGTCCAGCATCACCTACACCCTCAACGTGGCTGGGGCGGGGGCCCGCATCTTCACCTCCATTCACGAGAAGGCGGGTCCCGCCATGCTGCAGGGAGCGATCCTGGGTGGGTCGAGCGGCGATTTTGGTTTTTGGCTGGGGTGAGGCACTCCTCCTGGAGGGCGCTGTGGGATGCAGGCGAGGGCCTGGCAGCACTGAGGCGCCTCTGCGGCATGGGGGCCTGTAGCTTGGAACATTGTGGGAAGACCTCCATACCTCGGTCCCTGACTCGGTCACCCAACTTTGCTGGGAGGCAGTGGGTGATGCTGAGGAGAGGGGCTTCATGTGAGGGCTGTTGAAGGGCATGGTCTCTGCCTTGAACTCTCCCACAAGCCCTTCCTTACCCCGTCTTTGGCAGGCACACTGCTGAACGCAATTGTGCTGGCCCAGATCCTTGTATACGGCAGGAGGGCAGCCAAGGGCAAGACCGAATGACTCATTGGTATGCAGGAGGGCAGTGGGGATGGGGAGGAGGAGGAAGTAACTCTGCTTGCCGCCTGCTGGGCCCCCACCTCGACGCTCATGCGTGGGAGGTGGCTGTCAGACGGTGGTGCACCACCTGCGACGCCTGGCTCCCTGCCAGCCCATTCCAGCCCTTGCCACCCATCGGCGCTCACCCATGACCCTCGCCAAACCATCCAAATCTTCCTGCCGGCTCCCCTTCCACCTCCCTTGACACCCCCTCCAGGCCACCACCAAGCTTCGCCGTGGGAGTTTTACGTGCAAGTGGCGCGCCGCCTGTGGAGGCTGGTGGCCGGTGCACCCGGCACGCCTCAGCCCATGTCCACCCAAACCTCCCTCCCCGATCTCCGCTTGCCCCCGAGGACCCTCGAGGTGGCAAAGGGCTGGCCGGGGTCGCTGTCCCCGCCCACCCTCGCCCGGCGCAGCAGTCAGCAGCCAGACAGCTGGGCCAGGGTGTAGGGCGGGATGCACAGCGTGGCGCTCCCCGACCTGGCGGCGCCGCAAGGCGAGGTGGTGGCGGCCACGAACGGACTTCGGGGGGAAAATTTGATGCCCACGAGCCGTGCTTTCCATTGTGCATTTTGTTGTCCCGCTCTGCTCCCCATGTCCCGCTCATTCTGTGTCGACTTAGCCCAAACAGTCTCAGGCAGCGCACGAACGAGCAGGGCTTCGATGGACAGGCCCCCCCAAGGAGTCCCCTCGCATGTGTCGTCGGCGATCGTGGTTCACATGTGTCGACCGCGGCGGCAGGGGCATGGTGAGGGGGAATACATGGCAGTCATCATGGGTGCATCGCAGCCACCCTATTGAGTCGAGCAGAGCGCCTGGGTGCCTTGCGCCGGCGCGTTGGCAACCACCCACCTCAGCAGCAGCTGCTCTTGTTGCCGGCGATGGACTTGCCGTCGCCGGGCCGGATCGTGTTTGCGGGCTTGTTCAGCGCCGGCTCCCTCGCCATCCTGTCAGATGCCGAGGGGGTCGATTCTGGGGTGGTCAAGCAAGGCGCGCGGCGGCGGTGAGGGCATCTGCACTGCAGGCACCTCCCGCATCGCGAACACTGAACTGCTGCCCCAGCCATGTGTTTTTTATCGCACGCCCCTCCCAGCCATGGCTCTTTTCTTGGCTGGCTGCCCAGAGCACTTCCCCCCCTCTCCTCAAACCATCCCTTTGAACATAACCCCCACTCCATCGCCCCCTTTCCCCCTCACACACCTGTTCTTGATCTCCCCCGCCATGGTCATGAAGGCCTGCTCGACGTTGGTGGCGGCCTTGGCGGAGGTCTCGATGTAGGGCACCCCGATCTCGTCTGCAAACGCCTTGGCCGTCTCGTAGTCCACCGCGCGCTTGCCGACCAGGTCCACCTTGTTCCCCACCAGCAGCTTGTTCACGTTCTCGTTGGCGTACCGGTCGATCTCGTTCAGCCACTGCTTGACATTGTCAAAGGACTCAGAGTCGGTCACGTCGAAGACGACGATGATGCCGTGCGCGCCGCGGTAGTAGCTGCTGGTGATGGTGCGGAAGCGCTCCTGCCCCGCCGTGTCCCAGATCTGGAGCTTGATCACCTTGCTGTCCAGCTCCACCGTCCGGATTTTCTGGGGAGGGAGGGGGAGGTGGGGATTGATTGGCGGCAATCACACAAGAGCATGTAGGAGGGTGGCAGGGAGCGCTTCCTGGTCCCCAAAGGCCTCGACGGGGTCAGAGGCATGGGCTCTGATGCCCCAGAGAGTAGGGCCAGCCAGGTCCTGCCAGTGTGCCCGAAGCACATGCACGGGAGCACTCTGAAACCTCGGCGGCGCTACAAGGCCTGCGCTAAACCCTTCTCCCCCTAAAAGGGAATGCTCACAAAGTCAACGCCAATGGTGGAGATGTAACTCTCTGTGTAGGTGTCATCCTGCGGGGATGGGTTGTTTCAGGGCCCTTGCTGTCGGGTGCAGGGGTGCTCGACACCCTCACGCTCTCCCTCACGGCAGGCCCCAAGCATCGGGAAGCTGCTGGCTTCGTGCCAGAACCGCACTCACCGCAAAGCGCAGCAGCAGGCAAGATTTACCGACTCCAGAGTCCCCGATCAGGAGCAACTGCGGCGAGTCAGGGATGGGGGGTGACGCGTTGTCGGCCCAAGTCAAACACAGCGGGCCAGCGATCTGTGAGCGCGGCCTGCCACTAGGGCTACGCGCGCGCACCTTGAACAGGTAGTCATACTCCGGGTTGGACATTGCTGTCGAGTTTGTGGGGAAGGGGTGCCTGGAGCCGGAGCGCGCACCCAGGGAACTCGGTTAGGAGTCCTTGGCCTGCTCAGGTCGAAACTGTCAGTCCTGCCTGGAGAGCGGGGGGGCGCCTGAAGAGTCTGCTTGTGGTAAGGAAATGGTCATGGAGCGTTCGAGTGCTCCGCGGTAGCCCCCTGCAACGGGCATGGCGCAAGCTCACGATTTCCGCGCGGGAAACGGTGCTTCCACGAATGCTGAGCGCACCAGCGTGTGATGCAGGAATCCAGGGCACTGGAAGCCTGCCCGGAGGACGTATCCCCCGCGATCGCCATCCGGTTCATCAGATGCACCCTGACTGAGGTATCGGTCCGCACGATCAGTGCCCGGTGCACGGTCGTCCGGTGGTGAAGCCTGGATCACCCTGCTGGTGTGTCACAGCACAGGTGGTGATCTCGAACCCAGGACCACAGCTGGAAGCTCGGCCCCTTCCAAGGTCATGCAGTACCCGTCTGGACCTCCTGGTCCCCCCTCGAATGGTCAACCTGGCCCGGCCTGGCCTGGTGTTGGAGGTGCAGGTGCGCCTTGGGACAGTCGCATGGCATGCACGGCCTGACCTGGGGTCCGACTCTGCAGCGGCCCTGGGACGTTTTGTTTGCTGTAGCCACAAGAGGTATCATTCCATCCTTCCACAGCTCCTCCAGTGTCCGGCACCCCGCTCGGTGCTGTACCCCCTCGGTTTGCCCAACTGAACCTGGGCGGTAAGGGGCCTGCGCCAGAGCCGCAGCCCCCACCGCAGCATGCGGCGCACCCGGCTGCCCCAGGCCGGCCTGGCGCTCCCGCGCCTGGTGCTCCCGTGTTCTCCTCCGGCGTCGCAGGTCCAGCTCGGCCCATCCCTGCATACAACCCCCAGCCTGGACAGCAAGTCGCCCAGCCAGCGAGGCCATACCCACCAGGCCCAGCGGCAGCACCTCATGCCGTCCAGCAGCCACACATGGCCCCGGGCGCGATGCGTACTTCAGGCGCCGTCCGGCAGCCAGGGGCGTATGGCGGCCAGCAGCCAGGGGCGTATGGCGTCCAGCAGCTGGGGGCCTACTCTGGCCAGCTGCCAGGGACACGTCCCGGGCGGCCGCCCCGCCACTGGCCCCCAGCGCCCTCAGGCGCCGGCCCAGCCCGGCAGGGTGGCTTCGAGCGGCGCCGCCGGCGTGCAGGAGGGACCCCCTCCTGCCACGGGCGCCCAGCCCAGCGTCAGCCACGTCGCATACCCACCCTCCACCCCCGCCCGGCAGCCCCCGTCCCCGGCGGCAGGCCCGCGGCAGCCGCCACAGGGCGCGTTCAGCCCGCCCCCGCTCGCGGTCAACGTCGCGACCCCACCCCGGGCGCACCCCGGGCTGGGCGTGCCCGCCGGGTTCGTCCCCGGCCGGGGGCCTCCCGCCGGCGCCCCGCAGGCGAGCGCTGGCCCCGCCCATCGCGGCGGGCTGGCCGCCCGGCCCATGCCAGGGTACACGGGGGCCCCGCCCCTGTGGCCGGGGCCGCCCGGCGCCCCCGGGCCCCCACCTGCAGAGGGGTATACTGGGCAGAGCCCGGCTGCGCAGATGATTGCGCCGGGGCGCATGGGCACCCCCCCCGGAGCCGCCGGCGCCGGCTACTTTGGCGCGCCTGCGCCTGCCAAGCGGAACGACCCCCGCCCGGCCCTGTCACCGCAGCTGGAGATGGTGGGTGGTGCTGGGGGGGAGTGCTGGGGCAGGGCTGAGAACAGGCATGTGGAGTTTTGAGTTGCACGGGGGCTGGTCTTGTTCCGGGCATGTCCGCGGCTGATTCGGCTTCCAAGACGATCGGTGATTGCCACGGTGCCCTCCGGCCAGTCACGGACCCATGCCCCGGCCGAATGCAGGTGTTTGAGACTCGGCGGGGCGGGGACCACTCCATCCCGCCCCCCTGCAGCACCCCCCTGGTGGTCAGGGACAAGGGGTCGGCGGGGCCCCACCACATGCGCTCCACGCTGAACCTGGTGCCCCAGGTGCGGCGTGGTGGCGCCCTGGAGGACGGGGCGGGGTGTGTGTCTGCAAACTGGTTCTAGGCCTGGGCGCATCGACCCATGTCCGCTCGACCACCAGGCATGCAACGCCAAGCCCGACCCCATGTGCCAGGCAGCATCTGCCCCCCTTTCCCACGAATCCCCCCGTCCCCCCCCTCCCTACCCCCCCCCCAAACCATC